AGAATTCAAAGATGTGTAGTGATGTGCCTCAGTGGAGGACAGCTTCCCAAACAGGAGATGAACTTCTGTGTATTATACAGAACAATGCAAAGAATTTCTGAATATACTTTATGTGACACATGTGCTCATAGACGATGTTTGGGAGAACAGCCATAGAGGTTTTTTTTTTTTTTTTTTTTTTGTCTTTTTCATTTTTATCGGTACCAGGGATCGAACTCACGACTGCCTGATTCCAAGGCAGGCACTTATGCCGCTGAGCTAAATCCCCAGCCCCTAGAGGTTTAAATTTTAAGAAAAATGAAGCAGATATAAATGTGTCATCAAGGCCAGGGAAAAGTGTGTTTGCTAAGGACAAATTCCAGAAGGGGTTGCCTGTTAGATTCTCATGGTAAAATGCCTAAATGTAATCATTTGCATGAACATATACACGTGATATCCTTTTGAATGGAAAGGAATATGGGTGTCATCTCTGAATTAAGAGGTGATTTAATAGCTTGGTTGATCATATACATTGTTGAAATATGGAAAGGCTCTGCAATGGACTTTACTAAGTGGTTAAAGGAGATGCCATAAATTAAAATTGTGCAGGGATATCAGTAGTTTAGTCATGAAGGGTTTTCTGCTTAGGGTGGATCAGACGAGCATGGAAAGGATGTGGAAGTGACTGACAGGATGCATTGTGCCAATAGCAGGACATAAAACAGAGAGTATTGAAAGTCAGGTAGTTCTTAGGGTAAGCATGAATATAAAGTTGGCTTATGATTTCTTCCTTGAGGTGAAAAACACCAGCTCTGGTAAGAATCAGTATTCCACATCCTTGTCAACCTATGAATTCTGTGTTCTTCACTTGAGATCTAATTTTGATTTTCTGTAATTATGACCCAGTGTCATGAAGGTGAAATTTGATTTTTTTTTTGTAACAGGGATTGAACTCATTATCTCAAGCTTGCTAGGTAGGTGTTCATGCTGCTGAGCTAAATACCCAGCTCTGAACGTGTTTTCTATATACTATGCATGATATCAACATGGTTCCTCAGAAAATGTTGAATATTGTGGAATTTTTCTATATTGTATGGATATAATTTTTAAAGCAAACCAAAGGTGTCGTGTGTAGTCACTTTTCAAGTTTCACATTGTCTGTGGGGTGTCTCAGTCAGGGTTTCTATAGTTGAGACAGCTCTGGAACTTAGGCTAGCCCCAAACTCAAGGAAGTTCTCCTGCATCAGCCTCCCAAGATATATTTCTTATATCTGAATGGAGAGTGATCACTTGGTGACACTGACCTATAATTTGAAACTTATATCTGGTTTCATTTTTTATACATTTTTTACATATAGCAGTTTTCCATGAACATTTGAGTTATTATTTATGTATCATATTTGATGTTATTTATGTTTGTTCTATGAAAGCAAATTAAAATATCAAAATTCTACTTAAGTATATTAAGAACAAAGGACTCAGTGGCCTAAATGAGATTTGAAGAGATATCATTGTTAGTACATCAAAGTGATTCATGAGATATTTGTCCACCTCTGTGCTTTATGGATGCTGGTCCTGCAGGCTCTTGCTATGAGCTCTGCTGTAGAGACAGTGCACAGCGATTCTTGCAGTGACTCAGCATAAGTATCAGTGCTCTTATTTGGCTGTTACATTAGCTGTGAGTTGCAATATAGCATTAAATTTGCTGTCTCAATAAATGTGTATATACCAAAAATTAATCCCCATGACATGGAATTAAGATTTGAAGAAATCAGTCACCATTCAGCTGTTTTGTTTGGTTTTATTTGTTTAGTTTAGTTTTGTTTTATTGAGACAAGCTTTCTCTATGTATATCAGCTAGTTTTGAACCATTTATGGAGTGCAGAATTGCCCTAACCTCAAAGCAACACTCCTGTCTCAGCGTCTTAAGTGTGGGATTATAGATATGTGTCTTTTTACCCTAGAAAATATTGAGGCTTGTAACGTAGCTGTGTTGTAGGTTGGCATAATAGATGCCATCTTGAGCTTTGCATTTAACTAGTGCCCTGTATTTCACTCAGAAAAATGTAAAATCACACAGGGTATAAGTCCCAGGAGAAAAACAAAATGAGCTGTACCTAAAGAAAAAATTAACCTGCTCACCAAAGAAGCAGAATACGTTTGTCATCCAAAAATTATTATAAGATTCTAGCTAAATGATTTCCAACAGGATTTTTTTGTGATTTTATCTTTTAAAACATCACTAACTTTCCAGTTCAGAGCGTCTTTTTTAGATACTGAAATTGGGTAGGGGTTCTGTATACAAGTGGTCCTGAGAACTGCTAATGAAATGCCACATTTCTCAATTGGGTTGCTTGGTTTCCTATATTATTGTTCACAAACTCAACTCAGGCTGCAGAAACCTTACTGACACAAGCAGACACTAGGATTAAATGACAGTGGCACTGAAATGAAAGAATAGTAGTGAAAAGGAGAGGAGAAAAAAAGACAAATGCCATGGGCTATAATGCCCACCTCTTTTCCCCAGCAATGAAGAAGCTCAAACAGGAGAATGGCCATCTATTCAAAGACACCTAACCTACATAGTGAGTGCAAGGCTGGCCAGAACTCCAAAGAGAGACTATGTCTTTAAATCAAAAATTAAATGAAAAAATTAAACAACCAAGGAGACAGAAAAAGTATTTTAAAAAAAACAATAATAGAGCTGAGTGAAAGTTGACTTATGTAAAATGAGAATTATTGAATGATGCTGCAGAGGAAAGAAGGCCATGAACAGGTATCCAGGAGACAGTGACGAACACAGACTTAGGAATGGCACCTATTGTGCTACAGGACAGCAGTGACCTCCTTCCTCCAATATATTTTCAGTTCACTAGACTGAGGACTTCTAAAAGCTCATGGAAATGTGGAACTCATGGCAAACAAGCAGCTTAAAATTCAGGCTTTGGAACATGGCCTTTAGCAGACATTTCATATTTAAATTGAAATAAGAGAAATGTAGCCCTGCCCTGTTTACTGTCAAATGCGCAAGACTGAGAAATGAAGTCACAAAATGAAGTTCAAAAATTTTCTTAGAAAAAAAGAGAGAAGAATAGCCCTGAATTTTCTGGAGTGGTCTTCAGGGTTTGGCCACAGACCTATTGTCAGGGGAGTTATACAGGAAAGTCCCAGTGTGGGTACAGTGTGGGTCTCAGACTACAATCAACCTATAAAGTTATAGCTGCTTAACTAATATTATTCAGCAGGGGAACAAGTCAGCCAGAAAAGGTATGTGGAAAGAGCCAAGGCATTTTGTGGGAACAATAGTCCAGTTGTTCTGGTCATTGAGTATGGTAATTGAGGCCTATCAGGACTTCCTGGAGCAGGTGGTGGAAACTGCAGTACATTTCAAACTATTGTTTTTCTCTTCAGGAGCATGTAGACATTGTCACTGCATCTTCACCTTCAGGTCTGGTTTTCTTCAGTTGTGCCTGTAGCAGTGATTGTTGTGTTTAGTTTTTTGCATTGACTCTTTGAGGTTCCAGTTCTTGTCTGATTGTATATCAATTTCTGTCTACATTGACATCCTTTGCTAAAATCACATTTGAATGAATAAAGTGATGTTCATACATTTAAAATATTCATTAATACAGGCCTGGGATTTAAGCTCAGCAGGCAGAAACGTCTGCCTGTAAGTGCTAGGTTGTAACTTTGATCACCAGTACCTATAAACAAAAGTAATTTGAAGTGTAAGGAAATAAAATCATTTCATTTGCAAAAATGTAGGATTACAAAATTTATAACTAAATATGTCAATGGCAAATTAAACATTGTTAATAGTCATATTTAATATCTAAAGTTGTTGATTCTGTGGATTGACTTCAGTGATACAAGAAGCTGCCTGGAGCACACAAGGACATGAGTTCAATCTCTCATACAAAAAAAAAAAATTCACAGTTTTCAGTGATGCAGTGCTATGAGCACATTTATTGAAACTGATACTTGTTAATTAATAGGCTTAATGTTTCCTTTGTGGCCTATGAAATACCTGCACATAACATGGCAATTACAGCAAATGATGTACTGTCCCCTATAGGATTGGTATTTTCTGAGTATTTTTTATTTTTTGTTTTCCCACATACTTGAAAGTTGAAAATGTTGGCTCTTGCTAGCTAGAAAAACTGTGATAACCATTTTTTTCAATTTAGTGATATATTTTCCTATATCCATTAAGAACATTTTATTTGCTGCAATTACCCCAAGTCAAATTGATAAACAATACTTAAAGTTACAGGCAGCTGAGTTAGTTAGAAATACAGGCAACCATACTATGATATAGTGGAATGAAATTCCTGAACTTCTATGTCTGGTATGAGTTTGTGTTCTCTAAAGTACAAAAATGAATTTTAGGAACACCAGAGTTGAAGAGCAGAATATATTTATTGAGAGATAGAAAGTGAAAGTATTTGCTCTATATAGGACATTTTGTAATTGGGAGTTGGAACCAGGGGACATTTACCTTGAAGTCACTTTCCTCTCCCCTATTCAACCTACCTGTGGCCAGAAAAGAATCTCAATCAGTTACTTGCATATCAGCAATGCTATATTTAATTAAGCACCACCGAAGTAAAAAACTATATGTATGCTGCCCACACACTTCTAGAAGAAAAAGCCAGACCCCCAGTGATCATGGGGTTCTCCCCATATTCTTAGAATAAAGGCCATTTTGACTTTGTATTCTCTTCTTTACTACACCAAAAATCCTATCAGAAAGCTTCTATCTGAGAAAAACAGGAGGGATTCTGAGCCTGTAGCAAAAGACTCTGTCTTTTCTAGAGACCTTACAGAATAAAATCATGTGATGAGACAGCTGTAACTTTAAGTGGCTTAGATTACTGAGATTACTGAGGAGGTAAATTAGCACAATAGAGAAGCAGAATATAAGAAATGTAAAAGTGGCCTTTTATTTGAAGAATGTGGAGAGGAGCTCACAGCCACCAAGGGTTTGGCTGTTTTTTGTTTTTTTTTTTTTCCAACTGACTATGGGGTTATGGGGTATATGTGACATTTGAATGGATGTTGTGCTTGGAGGGGACATTGATGTCATGCAAGGAGCTGATGGGAATTTTCTTTCGGCCCCTGGGAAAGAAAGAGGAAGTTGTATTCAAGGAGAAAAGAGGAAGTGGCCTTATGACTAAGCATCCCTGATTTCACATTCTTCCACCTTGAACTACAACCATGAGGTCCTGTAATTGTTTGAAGGGCAAAGCTCTTTCAAGTACATCCTTTGGTTTGAATGAAGAAATCAAAACAAAGAATTTTTGCTGTCTTCTTCCATGGCTGTTGGTAAACCATTCATAAGAAATATTTTGAGTCAATTCCTTAATGCATTGTCAATACCATAACCAAAATTACAGATCAGTTCAGTTTCAGAAAAAGAAGCAACACTTAAAGGCAGGGATAAAAGCCTTCAATGCAAATATCCATGGCGTGGTGAGATAAACAATGTGTGATACAAACTACTGGATTTCTCTGACTTCAAGAAAGAGAAAAGTTTATACTGATATTGATATACTGGAATGAATCTCCCTGTCTACTATGTCTGATATTAGGTTTTTGTCCTGTAAAGTCAAAGAATGAATTTTAGGAACATCAGAGATTAAAAGAAGAATATACTTGTTGAGAGAAAAAAAGCTACCTGAGAGAGAGAAGGTATCCTGAGCAGGTTGCCAAACACTGTGCATTCTAGGGACCTTTATAGAGTAAAATCATGTGGTGAAGTGAGTTTAAGGTGGGGAAAACTAAAAACTCACAATGCAGATGGGCATAAGATGGGAAAGAGTTATGGTAGCCAATAAGATTATAAGTTCAGGTAAAGTTGATTTAATTGGGAACAAAGGGGGAAGGGAGTCACAAAGAAAGCAGGCATTTTTAGGCAGCTGTGTCTCTTCCCTTAAGGATTTGGGAGGGTGAGTCCTGAGTTCCTCAGGATGATAGGAACTATTTAGAATGTCAATCTTTAGGATAAGGATATATTTATTTAAATGGTGACTCCTGACTTCCTCAGAGTGCTAGGGAACTATTTAGAATATCAATCCTTAAGATATGGATGAATTTGCTTATCATTTGTCTTGAGCCTTGGCCCATAGCATGAGGTGTCAGTCTTCCCCATAGTTGCAAGTTATCTGGTCTCCTGCATGGGCTCCTTGGGGGACCTATCCATGTCTCATGCCAATAGTATTTAAATAACTCATGTCCCTGTAACAGTACTGTTTGGAAAATTGAGTACAGATGTTTTGTGCTCTGGGTGAATGATCTGGGGATGACAATGTGCAATGTATATATCATTGTTGCCCCCTGATTGACATGTTTTGAAATTTAATTTTAGTTGATGTGTTCTTTTTTCCTTGAAATAAAATGGATTTAAAAATTAAAAGTCTGAGGTAAAGCTCTTCATACAAACACTCCTCTGTTGAGCTGAGTTCACCACTGGAGAAGAATGGCAGCTTCAGAAGTCTCTGCACTACAGTCTATCTTTTGGGATCCTCTTTTGCATGGAGGGGTTCCTTTCCCTGTTTATTCTTGACTCAGAAGGATGGCAATAGAGCAGGAGTCAATCAGTGATGAAGGGGCAGGCTGTATGAACTGTCCAATGAGGTGGGCCATTGCTGGCTGTGACTTCTGTCTGTTCTGGTGTCTCAGCATGATTTACCTGTTCTGAGTACAACAGTGGTAGCAAAATGGTTGCTGGATCTCATTTAATACTTTTGATGTCCTGTGGCCTGCTTGGCAAAGAACCTGAGAGATCCTGAAGCCATGGAATGGTGAGGTTGTGGATAGGTGCCCAGAAATAGCGTGGATTGGGCAAAACCAGTTACAAGTGTTTAGGAGTAGTTCCAGTGTCTGGAGCCTCAGGTATTCAGTTAGCTTCAGCTCCTGAGGTCCTCCAGCTTTGGCCATGGGTCATTCACTATCCCTTTTGCCTCTTGCTGTTGGCAAGGGTAATTTGGGGTCCCCAGAACCCTTTCTTCACTATGACAGCAGCAGACTCAAGTATCATCTTTGAAATTCACTGCTAGCCTGGTAAGTCCACCATCTTAGTCATTGTGCGGGGCTTGGGAAGACCCTGACTATGATGCTTTTGTAGCTTGTAGAGCATTAATGATCTAGGTCTATGCTCTCTTTCCTCAGAGTCACAGATCTGGAATGTCCAGAGTTTATTAATGTATGTAATGCAGGGCCTCATAGCCACAATGGCTCAACTTAAACTTGGGTTTTTTGTATTTATAGTGATCGCCTAAATTTATAGTATGTTCTCCTATTTCCATCCTCATGACAGGTAGTGACAAAGGTCCTGAGAATTCAGAGATATGTAGTACTGTGCCTCAGCGGAGAAAGGCTTCCCAAACAACTGGTGAACTCCTGTGTCTTATACAGATCAGTGCAAAATAATTTCTGATCATACTTAATTATTTAGGTGGCACCTCCATTCACAGACTAGGTTTGTGAGAACAGCCATAGAGTTTTGAAGTCTGAGAAAAATGAAGCAAATATGAAAGTGTTATCAAGGACAGGGTAAAAATTTGTGAAGGACAAATTCCAGAAAGGGCTACCTGTTAAATTCTCATCGAAAAATGCCAAAATTTAAGCATTTGCATGGTCATATACATGTGATATCCTTCCGAATGGAAAGGAGTAGGGGTGTCACCTCTGAATTAAGAGCTGATTTAGTAGCTTGGTTAATAGACAGATTAAATATGGAAATTCTCTACAATGGACTTATCTAAGTGGTGTAAATGAGAAGCCCTAAATAGAAATTTTGCAGTGATATCGATAGTTAGGCATGAAGGGTTTTCTGCTTAGGATGGATCAGAGGAGTGTGGAAAAGATGTGGAAGTGACTGACAGGATGCAGGCAGCAAATAGCAGGACATACAACAGAGAGCGTCTTCACTGAAAGTCAGGTAGTTCTTTAAGTATGAAGTAAAGTTTGGTTCTGATTGCTTAATTGAGGTGATCAACACCAGCTCTGGCAACAAACAATCAGTATTCCACATCCCTGTCAACCCATAATTTTTGTGTTCCATACTTGAGATCTAATTTGATTATCTCTAATTATGCCCCAGTGTCATGAAGCTGAAATTTTCAATTTTTTTGTACCAAGGATCAAACGCATGACCTATGCTTTCCAGGCAGGTGTTCATGCCACTGAGCTAAATACGCAACTATGAAAATGTTTTCTGTGTAGTATGGATGATATCCACATTGTTTCTGAGAAAGTGTTGAATATTGTTGGAATTTTTCTATATTGTATGGCTATAATTTTTTTTTAAAACAAACCAACGTTGTCTTATGCAGTCTATTTTTAAGTTTCACTTTGTCTGTTCAGTGTCTCAATCAGAGTTTTCTATTTTAGACAGCTCTGTAACTTAGGAAAGCCCCAAATTCAAGGAAGAAATCCTTCATCAGCCTCCCAAGATATATTTCTTATATTTGAATTGAAAGTGATCACCTGCTGACAGTGATGTTTAATTTACAGCTTGGGCCTGGTTTCATTTTATATACATATTTTTAAAATACAGCTGTTTTCCCCTAACACGAGTTATTATTTATATGCCATATTTGATGTTATTTATGTTTTGTTCTATGAAATCAAATTCATGTTTCAAAATGCTGCTTAAGTATATTAAGAACAAAGTACTCATTGGCCTAAATGAGATTTGAACAGACATCATCTGTAGTCTATCAAAGTGATTACTGAGATTTTTTATTTAATTTTGAAATTGGTAAAATAGAACAGAACAAGGCAGCATAAGGTCAACTAAGATCACACAGTGAAATTGGTACACAACTTCACAACAGGTTACTGGGATAACAGTAATAGGTATCACAGTATATTTTGTTATCTTTGTCATAGTTGTTCTTTAATCACGTATATCAAAATGAGATGAAATACAGAACATTATAGAACTTATCAAAACAGAATATTGAATTGAGCAGTACCATTAATCAGAATAGAGTGAAACAATAATAAAAACATTTTCCTTCAAGGAGATAGTGGAAGGAAGTCCCCCTTATTTGCTCCAGTCTACTTCCCAGGAGATGCTCAGATTTCTGGTTCCCATTTGCTAATGTGGGGTGACAGGAGAAGAGGGGTAGGGAAATGGGATGTTTGATTCCAGGTGGTGCATCAGTAGGTTCGGTGTTGCTTACTAGGGAGACAGGCTGGTTGTTTGGTTTCACAGCGCCCTAAGTTCCAACATAGAATGGATCTTAGGAGCTGCTGCTGGTTATCCCCCTGGAAGGGCTGCAGTTTTCCAGACTGCCACCACTGACTGGGGAGGGGAGGTGCTTGCTTGGCTTCCCAGGCAATTGATGTGACATTTATCTGCCTCTGTGCTTTGTGGTTGCTGGTCCTGCAGGCTTCTCACTGTGAGCTCTGCTTCAGAGAAAGTGCACAGGGAATCTTGCCATGACTCAGCACAAGAATCAGTGCTCCTATTTGGCTGTTACATTAGCAGTGAGTTGCAATCTAGCATCAAATTTGCTGTCTTCAAAAATGTGTATAAACACAAAATTAATGACCAAGACATGGATTTAAATTTGAACAAATCAGTTTTCATTCAGCTGTTTTGTTTGGATTTATTTGTTTAGTTTAGTTTTGTTTTATTGAGACAAGCTTTCTGTATGTATATCAGGTGGATTTGAACACCCTGTGGAGCCTAGAATTGCCCTGACCTCACTGATGCGTTCCTCTCTCTGCCTTTTGAGTGCTGGGTTTATAGATATGCACCACCACACTTTGCTTTTGATTCAGATTTGTAGGAGAGAATTTAAGATATCCCAAACCTGGGGTCTCAACCTTCCTTTGAGAAATATATGTATGATCCTTTAGGAGGCAGTGACCTTTGAGGATGTGGTTGTGAACTTCAGCAATGAGGAGTGGATTTTGCTGAGTCCATCCCAAAAGAACCTCTACAGAGATGTGATGGGTGAAATCTTTAGGAACATGGCTGCAATAGGTAAGGATGAAACCTTTTTGGCACTCATGCTGTCAGAATATTGTTTCTTGCTCATTAGTGCTGTTTTGTTAAAAAGAATATGAAAATATTTTTTAAAGTAGCTCCGACCTGGCCACATTATATCATAAATCTAAACAAAATCTATTAATTTGTATGTATTACTCAACTGAGTCCTGCTATTTCTATGTCTACAATTCAGGAGGACTTGGGGATATCCAGGAAGCTGAAAAAGAAGGCAAAATTTACTGGAGAAACTTAAGGTAATTCACACTCGCAAGGAGAGTAATGTTTTGAGTAATTAGTGAGTCAGTAAAAAATGATCAGCAAAGAAATGAGGCACCATTCAATTTAATGTCAGTAATATTCTCCAAAGATGTATAAGCTAGTGTATATATGAGGGAATTAAATCATGAAAATGTATGACATTGCATATAGATGTGTACGAAAGGCATACACTTTGAGTTATGACATTCTGCCTTTAGTTTTTCTACCCATATATACATGTGAATACAAGACATTCATTATCTAACAATTGCTAAGATTGCAATAGAATTTGAAATAAAACTGAGTGCTCATGTTTCCAAGCCATGCTCTAGACAATCGGCGATTCTGACTAATATTCTTAGTAGGCTGGTGGAATGTTAGTGCACTCATTTTAATATCAGTATGCAGTTGTCTCTAGAAATTGATCCCCTCATACTTGTCCTGGATATTTTTAAAATCACAAAATCTGCATAAAATACTGATACATGCTTACTCATATACAAAGCAGATCAAGTTATAACAGATCAGGCCTTGAAGCTTATCTATCTATCACTGGATTTGTGGAGAAGGAAAATGTTAATAGACTCTCTGTGATTTTGCATTCTTGTAAACCCAGCACACTAGGAATCAGATTTTGCAGAATGGCAATTTCAAGTTCAAACTTCACAGCTTAATGATCTATGAAAATCTGTTAAAATATATTTTTAAAAAGCTATAGATTTATGCTAATATCTGTTGCTCATTCCCAGCCCAGAATGGAAAAAATGTGTTATAGAATGTCAAAAAATAAATAATATAATGTCATTTTCCATAAGAATTAGATAGGTCTTTCACCCATCAATTCAGTGAAATAACTCAGCTATAAAACCTAAAAGGTCACTGGCTTTCTTTTAGATGAGAAACCAAAATACAAAATGTGGAAAGAAATAAAACAAAGTTGTTAGAGAAAAATAGACTGACCATATGGAAAAGGGAACTACAGGTTAAGGACAGAAGGGAGATTGTGATGGGGAAACATATGAGAATAATCTGCATATGATACACATACGTACCCATACCCAAAGTGAAGCTAAAGATTATGCATTTCAAAGTGCCAACTTTTAAGATTTCCAAATGTGTACCAGTCTTTTCGGAATGGTTGTTTTCAACATATCTTACAAGGCCATTCTGTTGCTTCTTGGTTAGAATTTATTAGCAGGCATTAAAAACAGAACTTGATATTAATGCAGTCATTAAACGGAGACCAATTTCACAGTGAATTTTTCTTTTTTTAAATTTAATATAAGGAAAGATTAAACAAGACAAAATAAGTAGAAATAATACTGCTTTCAAAGTGAAAAAAACAGTAAAAAATCGCAAGATGATGATTACAAATGCTGATCATAGAAATAGTTATGAAATACAAAAGTGAAACATATGAAGTGGGGATGCAAACAGTGAGACGGCAAACAGTTTTGTTCAACTCTCCAAGACAAGCTTAGTAATATGGTTATAAATCCTATATGTGATTTTTTCTTTACAGAAATGACAAGCTAGGGAAATCTTATGGACATACATCTTGGAAGCAGTGTAAAGAAGTATTTCTTTGTACTGCAGAAGGTAATGTGAATGTGAAAGAAACAGAAACACACCAGGATGTTCAGAGCCATGAAAAATATTGCAGTGGAGGGAAACCCTATGTATGTAAGCAATGTGGGAAAGTTTTTAAAACACGTGCATATTGTAAGGTTCATGTAAGAATTCACACTGGAGAGAAACCCTATGTGTGTAAGCAATGTGGGAAAGCTTTTAAAACACAGGGAGATTGTAAGAATCATGAAAGAATTCACACTGGAGAGAAACCCTATGTATGTAAGGCATGTGGGAAAGCTTTTACCAGACCTAGATGTTGTAAGGAACATGAAAGAATTCATACTGGAGAGAAACCGTATGTATGTAAGCAATGTGGGAAAGCTTTTACCAGACCTGGATTTTGTAAGGAACATGAAAGAATTCACACTGGAGAGAAACCGTATGTATGTAAGCAATGTGGGAAAGCTTTTAACACATGGGGATACTGTAAGAAACATGAAAGAATTCACACTGGAGAGAAACCCTACATATGTAAGCAATGTGGGAAAGCTTTTAACACACGTGCAAATTGTAAGGTTCATGAAAGTATTCACACTGGAGTGAAACCCTATGTATGTAAGCAATGTGGGAAAGCTTTTACCAGACCTGGACGTTGTAAGGAACATGAAAGAATTCACACTGGAGAGAAACCATATGTATGTAAGCAATGTGGGAAAGCTTTTAACACACATGCAAGTTATAAGGTTCATGAAAGAATTCACACTGGAGAGAAACCGTATGTATGTAAGCAATGTGGGAAAGCTTTTAAAACACAGGGAGTTTGTAAGAATCATGAAAGAATTCACACTGGAGAGAAACCCTATGTATGTAAGGCATGTGGGAAAGCTTTTACCAGACCTAGATATTGTAAGGAACATGAAAGAATTCACACTGGAGAGAAACCGTATGTATGTAAGCAATGTGGGAAAGCTTTTAACACACGTGCAAGTTATAAGGTTCATGAAAGAATTCACACTGGAGAGAAACCGTATGTATGTAAGCAATGTGGGAAAGCTTTTAACACATGGGGATACTGTAAGAAACATGAAAGAATTCACACTGGAGAGAAACCCTATATATGTAAGCAATGTGGGAAAGCTTTTAACACACGTGCAAATTATAAGGTTCATGAAAGTATTCACACTGGAGTGAAACCCTATGTATGTAAGCAATGTGGGAAAGCTTTTACCAGACCTGGACATTGTAAGGAACATGAAAGAATTCACACTGGAGAGAAACCATATGTGTGTAAGCAATGTGGGAAAGCTTTTAAAACACAGGGAGATTGTAAGAAACATGAAAGTTCACATTCAATATAAAACCAGTGTATGTAGGCATCATGAGAATGGCTTCAGCACATGTACCTATTGCATAATGCATGAAAATCTTTACACAGGGCAGAAAACATACATATGTAAGGAATGTGGGAAAGGTTTCAGCAGAAATGCTCATTGTCCAATACATGAAAAAATTTGCATGGTTGAGAAACCCTGTGTGTATGTGAAGAATGTGGGAAAGCTTTCACCACACATGGATTTTGTAAAATACATCTATGACTTCACACTGGTGAGAAAGCCTATGTATATAACAATGTGGTAAAGCTTTTACTGCATATAGTCATTGCAAAACACATGAAAGAATTCACACTGGGACGAACCACTGCCTATGTAAGCAAGTGGAGACACTTTCAGCAGCCAGATTGTAAGGGAAATACATGAAAAAAACTCACACAAGAGATAAATCCTATGTGTGATGGGAATACTCTCAGCATACTTGATCATTGTTACATATCTGAAAGAGCTCACTAGGCAGAGATGATATGTGGAATACCAATGTGAGAAATATAGCAATCCATGTTTCTTGTTAAATACATAGAAAAATCATCACTGTTCAGACAGTTTAGATCTAAGTTTACTTTAAAAATCCCAAGGAGACCTGAAGAAATAATCGATACAGAAGTTAGATGTCAATATTTCTTCACAAATATTCCAGAAATGACAAATCTGTGGTGGGGCTCTCCTTAGGTGCACATGTTGTATAGTTTTCAGTTAATCACTTGTACCTCTCTAGATTTTTCAATCTAGATGTTTTTGTGCTTCAACATGGCATCTTGTAATTAAACATGCTAAACTGAAATGGGCTTTTCACTTTCAAGTATGGATAGTGCCTCTGTACTTAATATTTTGTCTTTAAAACTAAAATTTTGTATTTTCTGGTGAATTGTAATGTTGTTTATTTAAAGAGAAAAAAAAGTGTAGAAATAATACAGAATTTCAGAAAAATAATAAGAAATCACTAGTTGATTAGTATTATATTGTCATCTTAGAAATCGTTGTTCAAGTTACAAATTTAAAGCATACAAAGTGATATTCAAATAATGACACTGTCACGGTTCACCTCAATGATCCACCAAAAAGTTATTAATATGCCTATCTGTCCTACACACTTGTTTTTCTTAAAGAGGGTAAGATTAAACATCGCGAAACAGAGCAAAACAGTTCATAAGGAAACAAGTTAAGGAAACACAGATTTCAAAGCAAGTCCACTGGGAATGTCTATCTTACTGTCTCTAGTTTTCTTCCAAATAGTTGTTCCCATCCTCACACACATTGAATATATACTGACTATTATAGAACTAATCAAATAATTACAGGATGATGCAAGCTTTTTCGATCTTCAAGACTGATTTGGGGGAAGTCGATAATGACTACCATAATGTCTCTCATTGTCTTTGTAGTAGCTGTCTTTATCTTTATGTATGCTGAAATGGAACATAAGAGACGAGACTAATATCACTCTGAACAGTGAATAATAGTATCCTGAGAAGGAGAAAGGTGAGGAATTGCCTAAAAAAAGAAGGCAGAGGACATAGTTAAAAGTGTATCAGGATTTAAAATCTACAGTAGTCTTGTTGCTCTGTATAGTTTGGTTATATTTTGTTCTGGTCTGTCTACTCATATTAGATTTGAGGGCACAGAGAGATAACCCAAAAATAGCAGGTTATACCATGGTAATTATCCTTAATTTCCTATTAACTAAAACTGAATCCCTATATTACTTATGTTGTCTTCTATGAATGATCTTCTTTGAAGCTGGATTGTTTCAATGTTATTTGGCCTTGACTGATTTTATTCACATTTGGTATGCTTGCTGGTATCAAGTTCAAGAGCAGAGGCAACTACTCTGAAGATGACAAGGTTTAAAACATATCCATTGGTGGGCTGGGGATTTAGCTCCGTGGCTTAAGGCACCTGCCTGGAAAGTGTGAGGTCATGAGTTTGATCTCCAGAGCCAAAAAAATAAATAAATAAAAGTTATCCATTCCAGGTTTGATGATTTTTTTTAATTAAAGAGAAGAAAGAAATAAAAAACAAAGCAGTAAATTGGTACAAGTAATACAGAATTTCAAGAAAAAATAGAGTAAGAAATCACTAGTTAATAGGTTACATATTGCCATTGCTAGGGTTATTTCCAAAAGATGAAAAATATTAACAAAAGATGAGAAATATAAAATAAAAAGTGGCCTTTATTCTGAGAACACGGAGAGAGATGACAGCCACCCCCATCGCTGGCGTCCAGTGATCTCTCCAGCGGACACGTGGCATGGGGGCCTGTAAATAGGCTTGTTTTGGGGTGGAACCTAAGGCGGGCATTAGGGATACACAGGTAGTCCATTGGTCCTAGGTTTGGTGCCATATGTAAATTTCCAGGGGTGGGAAGATGGCATCACAGGTAACTTCCTAGGAGCAGGGGAGATGGGGCTTCCTGCTTCCAGTTGTGGCTTTCCTGGCTACAGTGTTCTATCTGGGCCAAAACCCTTTCAGTCATCTTAGAAACAGTTGTCCAAATTATAAAATTAAAGCATATAAAGTGGACATTCATACAGTGAGATTGCAGAAGGTTCTGTTCAGTGATCCAATAAAAGCTCAGTAATATGATTTTCCATCCTACACACTCAAGCATACAGTTATATCCACTTAGACCACTTTCCTTTCCTCTCTTTTTTTACAATAACAGTTACACGTTTTGAGTTTTTTTACTCCCACAGTTCTTATTACATTTTTTTGAAGAGAATAAATCCTAACATGACTAAATAAAACAGAGACAGTTAGAAAAGAAGGATAGGCATAGTACATGATGCAAAAATAGAATATCAGATGATCAAAAATGGTTACCATTGTGCCTCTTGCTATTTTTTAAAAGAGTTGCTATATCATCAGGTATAATAGAATTGATCAAAACCGTACAGAACAAGACCAAAAAAACCTACACTGGAAACCTTGCAAGACTTCAAAAGAAGATAATAGACAAACTATAATGGGCCATCATAATAAATCTTATGGCCTTCAAAGTGGTTGTCTATACGCTCAAACTTGATATTATCAAACAAAATAGAATATAGTAAAATCAGGCAGAACAAGATGTGGAGAGCAATACTGGGGTTCAAATCAGGTTAATAGGAAAACAAATAGTTACTATAATATATCCCGCTATTTTTAAATTTAGTTTTCCGTTAATTGAAAAAAATAAAAAAGTTTAATTTAAGAAAAGGGTGGAGATTGAGATAAAAGAGGGTATTGTAATAGAACAACACTGGTCAGAATGGAACAATTTTAGCATAATTGTGTTTCACTGCCAGATAATCTAACATAATAGTAGTCACCATAGTGCCTCATTCCTTGAATTATTTGAGTATAACTTCGTATATGATAGCATCAAGCATATCAAGACAGCGTGAAGCCATTCAACAGAATGAAAGAATTACAGGGTATTTAGAACCAGTTAACAGAAAACGAACAATGGTTTCTATATTATCTCCTTGCCCATAATAATTTTACTTGAAGGATATGAAATGTTTCATGTTATAACACCAATGTGTCCAGGAAACGAGGATTCATAGCAAGTTTCACTCACGTTTACTTCAACCACACCCTGTAATGCTCCATACTCTGACCTACTTTGAGGAGGGAAAGCAGGTGGTGAGGGCAAGGGGAGGCTTTGCAAGGCCGTGGACATCATAACCCTGTGCTGATGAGGACCCATGGGCATCCCTCCTGGGGAATTTGTCTCCACATATTGCAGCTTATTGGTAGTGGAGCCAACACACTCTCATGGGGCTGAACCAGCAAGCTGCAACTTGTTCATGCATCTGTTACCCATCTACTGATTCCATTTGTTCTGTTTCCAGGTTGGCCCTGGAAAGCCAGCTGCCACAACCATTCTTATAAACAGTCTTGAGTGGACATAGACTTTTATTTCAAAGAAAAAGTACTTAGATGTGAAAATGCCAGATGCTATGTCTTGTGTATGATTAGCTTACAAACTATTAAGATACACTTGCAAGCATTTTTTAAAATCACAGTTAGGTGGTTGTTTTCTTTTTGGTACTGAGGATTGAACTTATGACCTCAGGTTTGCCAAGTGGGCACTTATACTACTGAACTAAATCTCCAACCCTGTTTTCTTATTTTGTTTTGCTTTGTTTTGTTGTGTTTTTATGCTATAATATGTTATGTTATGTTATGTTATGTTACACTACGTTTAGTGTTGGTGAGGATTTTGAGTCTCCTTCACTGATTTTCAGTGCTTTCTGATTTCATTTTGTATAATTCACCTGATAAACTATGACATACCACATAATCCTGGGTAATTTAATTTGGGAAAATATGTAAAAAGTAAGTGAGAGGTAGGTTTGGTAGTAACCATCTCTAGTGCGAGAAGTTACAAGGCTGAGGCAGCAAGATTGCTGTGAGTTGAGGTCAGCCTGGGCTACAATGTGAGTTTAATGAAAGCCTAAACTTTATAGCAAAATCCTGTCTCAAAAATAAATACATATATCAAAATAAAAGATACATTTAAAAGGTTTAAAAATACACAAACCATTTATAAACCAACAAATTAAAGCTTGGTGAATTTTTCTTACATATGTACTTTAGTCAGCACACTGAGCATTAGGTTTACCATGAGGTAGACATTGATCTACTGCCAAGAAGTGGAACTGTTTCAATTTTTTTGACCTTTTAACTGAGATGAATGTAGATATATTACTGAATATACACTCTTAGGATTAGGAGAGCATAGTATAAAGAGAATTTGATGGTTCTTTTTATTTTAGTACTAACTTTATTTATGGAAGTAGGATTTGAGCAAAGGCTTACTGTTTTTTGGAAAGACTTTCTTGTCTTAT